CTTGTGATCCTGTGATCGGAAATGGATGATCTATACCTCATTAGAACCGTCTCAGTGAGCTGATTCGAATGGTGGTGATTTTATCGAATTCTGTTCAGTAGTTCAAGTGTTATGGTCGTTTTTGTAGGTTAACAATATAGAGAAATGCTTACTGATGTTGTATAAGATTTTAGTACAAATCTGTAATAAAACTATTAGATATAAAAAACTAAGAAACTAAGATAATAGAAACTTATTTGAAAAGTTAATATAAACTTTTAATAATAATAACAAACTAATTAAAATTTATAAATTATTTTTAAAAAAATATATTAAATAAACTAAATACAAAATAAGTATAAAAAAGTATATAATTAACTAGACTGTCAGATTTATTAAAAAAAAAAATATAAATCCTTTTTTTATTATACTTATACTAAATACTATTTAAATATAATAGCTAAAAATAATAATATCAATAACTCTAATCCTAAAAATATATTTCAAAATACTTTTACTAAAACTACTAATCTATATACTTTTGCTTAAATAATAGCATATTTAATATTATACAATTTTTTAATTCTTTAATTTTTGAACTTTAATTTAAATACTACTAATATTACTTTATCACAAGCAATGCAATATATTTTTAAAATACTTAATATATCAAAAATCTTTATAGATCTTTTTTTTTCTTGATTTAAAATACCAGAAATACCAAACTCTTTTTTTTTTTAAATTCTTAACTAGTACTATTTTTTTAAAATTCTTAATAGGTATCCATTAGCCTTTTGTACTAAATTTAGTACAGTTTGAAAAAACATAACTCAATGACAATATAATTAATTTTATTAATAATTTGTTAAAATATAAATTAAATCTTAAATAATATTTATACAAAAAATTAATTAGTATTTATATATAAAATTTTGTATAAATTAAACTTGAGTATAAAAAATTTTTATACTTTTTTATTGTACTAAATTTAGTACAATAAATTTTTTTAAATATTTTATAAATATATATAATAATAATAATAATAAATTTAATCACAAGTAAATCAAGATTATTTATTTATTTTTATATACTTTTTATAAATTTAAATGATGTTTGCTAAAACAATTAATATATACAGCTTTTGCTGTATTGCAAATACAATGGTATCTTGATCTAATACTACAGTATTTACAATGCAATTGTGAATATTTTGTTTTATCATTTCTTTCCTTTTTTTTAGGAAATGTAGCTAAACTATATTGTGATTCTAATGTTTTTACATGCTTTTTATTTCTTAAATTTTCAGTTACATTATAGTTAATACCAAGCATTTCATCTGCTAATCACCTTTTAAAATCAAAATGTGAAAGATTATATGCTTCTTTATATTATTTTTTGTAGATAAGAAAAGCATTAGCCTCTGCAATTTCTAATAAAAAAGAAAATATATATATTTGCCAATTTGATCCTCATATTATATCATAGAATGAAGTCATATTATCTCAAATCTAATAATATAATAAAATTATATCATAATACTATATATATATATATATATAATATAAAATTAGCATATCTGATTATTAATATCAACAGCTTCTTTTGCTTATGAATATTTATAAAACACTTTTGGTCTTGTAAATTTAATAATTTCTAAACTAGTATTATTTTTAACTACATGCCTGACTTCATCTGCATTAATAGTTGTTAATGCTGTTGCAATTATACATTGTAGTTTTCTATTTCTTAAAGAAGCTGTCATTAATTGAATATTATTAATAGTTGTAACTTTTGATATATATAATCTGTATGCACTATTAAGTTTATAAACTATATCATCAGGATAATTAATAGGCTATGCATGCCTTTTTTTAATATGAAAAATACTATATAATCTATTTTTTATTAATAATATGCAAAGTTTTGAAGAGCCAAACCAACTAACATCTATTATTGTTTGTCTACTACCAAACTATAGTTGTGTTAGTCATAATACATATCCTGCAGTACTATCATATTCTAAAGCATAATGTTTATTTTTTTCTACTACTTTGTCTTCACAAGGTTCTAGTTGAATTACTATATTCATAAGACCATCAGTGAGGACTTTCTATTCTTGTTCTACAGGGTATGGTTTTCATGGTATTTTGCATAGATCTGGAATCTTGTTTTTGTGCCTAACTATAAGTTCATAGACTCATTTATGCATAATACACTTTTGGGAATTGTAGCTTTAATTAAATTAGTATTAAAAGCATTAATAAAACTATAAACTAAAAATAAGCAATTACTATGAAAAGTTATTTCTAATTCATGTAGCACCATTAGTGTATGTTGTGATACTATTTGTTCAAAGTGTAGCATACTCATCCAATATTGAAAATTAAATAGCATTAATAGTTAAATATTTTCTTGTGTTTTTCAATAATAGTGATGATCACTTACAAAAACAATAGACATTAATACCCAAAGTCCTAACTATATTTTGTATTCATTAATATTTACATCGATCCAATTTAAATTGTTTTTTCTTCCAAGTAAGTTGATAGAATGAACAATATTTTGTTCAATATAATTTATAGAAAAAAATTGACTGAATATAGTAAAATAAGAAGATAAACTAACTGATGGAAGATTAATTCAATATGGCCAATTGTATGTTAATTGAATTGCCCATTGGTCAATAGTGATTAGTTGCTCTTTCTATATAGATGTCATAGTAAGATCCATTTCACTAACATTACTAGCATTACTAGCATAGTCTTCTTCATTCAAACTATTTTTACTAGACTCTAAAAGTTTAGTATAAATTGTTAATTGTTCAGCAACTTTACTACTTAAAGTAACTTGTTTTTTAGACTAACTCTTTCCGACGATCACTTGTACCAAATTTTTGCTGCAAACATTTGTCTCTTACTCAATATTTTATTAAGTA